ATTTTTATCTTAAAAACAAATTTATAAAGTTTTATAATATTTAAATAATTTTATATTAATTTATTAATAAAAATATATATGGTATGGAACAGTAAATCTCAACACCTTCTATAAAAATCGGTCAAATTTTAAAAACCTGTATAATCACATGTTTATAGATTTTATTCAATTATAATGTAAACCACCAGATTAGATGGCACATAATGTATTACATAAACTTAGTAAAATTATGTCATGTTAAACTAGAAATACATTAAGTTATACAATGACTACATGTATAAAAGTCATAAAAATATATAAGATAATAAAGATATTGTGACAGTGATTAATTTATTGTGAGGCATTCGATTTGACCAAGATAAATAAATTATCCTTATTAAATTACTTTTAGTCACAACTATTCATCCTCCTGTTTTAAAGAAAGAATTATCAGGAAATTTTTTGAGCGGAGGAACTCTGTATATCTCCGCCATCATTAGAGATCTCCGGAGGATCAAAAAATATATATAAATTTCGAAAATCTCTGAAAATTTATTTCCTCCGGAGATTTTCGAAGGTTTTCAAAAGTTATTAAAATATTACAAACATTTGCGAAAACCTTCAAAAATCTCCGGAGGAAATAAATTTTTGGTGATTTTCAAAATATATATATATTTTTTTTGATACTCCGGAGATCTCTAATGACGGCGGAGATTTGTGGAGATATATGGAGTTCCTCTGCTCAAAAATTTCCTGATGATGTTATCATTTTATACTTTTTTTCTAAAAACATAATGAAAGGTAAAGGAATTTTTACTTATTTCTAGTGCTATTATCTAATCTAACACTAATTACATCATTATTATTTCATTTCTAGTGCTGGTTTCAGATCTATTTTCAACTTTATTTTCTTCTCGCGATCCCAGGTCGATCGTCAGTCTCATGACCCGAATCACATTACTACCATTTTACTTTTCCTCTTACAACTCCTCCATGCCTATATTATGCATTTCACGTATTAAGATTTCCATTAGGCATGTCCGTCGTCATGTTTCATTTGTAGTGATTGGTTATTATCTGTTGAGTTGTCAGTTGTCGGTCATCTTCTCTTTCCACTTGTGCCTTACTCCACGGCACAGTAAGTGGATTAACTTCATTATACAATAATGTGGCATAACTATCATTGCAATTCGTGCCATCGATGTAGCATGGATATTTATTTTTCTCCCAACTTTTCGCAGGGTCCTCCAACGGATTAGATCATGGCAGATTTTGATGCAGCACATGACGTATTAATGAGGTTGTTTGGACTTCTGCTTACACATTGATATAGGCATGATCTTCCATGGGTACATTATCTTGATTCTTTGATCCTTCTTTTGTGTCTTCCGTCTATAGTGATTATATGGCCTGATGCAGTAAGAGATATGGTGTTAGTGGTTTTTAAGTTTTACCTTCTATCGTACCATAGTCCGTTTAGTTTCCTTTTTTTATCTGGTTGCTCTCTGATATAGGGTAAGGGTATCAAACAATCATTCTATAGGCACATACATTGGTGTTGTCATAGGTGCATCCTCTATCAGATACGTTATCATGGTTTTATTATCCCTTATCCATTGTTCTCCCATCATGTGCTTGTGTTTTTTTCTTCCAATATTCATATTGAGTCCTTCTCCTTGGTCTCGATAATCCGTAATGGTCAGTCGTTCTCCTAAGGCACATTGTCGCAATCTGTCTTCCGGTCATCTCTCTTTCTCTTCAAGACATTTTTGATTTTTTATTTGTATCCCTGTGAGAATGATTTTTATCAGTTTGGCTTCATTATTCTTACTCTGCCATTCTTCATTGATTGGTATTTTTGTTCTTCTGATTTCTCTGGATGTCGACTGGTCATTATTTAGCTTGTCTTTGCTTTCACTATGCCTTTTGACTTCCGTATTCCTTCATAAAGGTTTGCATCCTTCTCCTGGGTCGAGATTATTTGTGATAATCGGACATTCTTCTAAAATAAGTTGTTGCAATTTATCTTCTGGTTGTCTGCTTTACTTGTGATTTGGCACTGATTCGAAACATTCCTCCACTGTATCTCTTGGATGGTCGGTTGCCTTTGATATTTTGTCTTCTTTTCTTGGCGTTTCATCATTAATTGCCATTAGAGTTTCGTCGCAGGTGGGTCTTGAGGCTTCGTCTGGTAATTCTGATGGCATCTCTTCATTAATGCGCTCTCCTTCCAGGGTCATTGTCTATGGTTTCTTCTGAGTGCTTGTTTCTATCTCACAGGTCAGAAAGTGTTTCTTTTTCTTTCGTAATATATGAGAGTAGGTTCTTTACTATTTGTCTCATCTCTCCTTCATCCTCTCCGAATTGCACTTTATCCATCCGTGGTGATTCTTGGGAAAACTTGTCCTTCCTTGAACAATCTTTGGCGTTGTGATCTCTCTTTCTTGAGTCTCCACAACCCAAATCTCTTTCCATCGGCATCTCCGGTTTGTTCGCGCTTTCTTCAGCTACAACAGTAGGTCTGCCCAACTTTACTACTATGGCTTGTACTTGTTTTCTCAACCCTTGAGTACAAGCTTCTAACCCTTTTGCCTTATTTGTTTCTTTTTTGGCTTTTATTGCTGCTCTGAACGCTTCTTCTGATATGATGGAATTTCTCACAGTGGATTGCGACAAGATATCTTTTCGTAACCCGAGTACTAGTAACCAATACGCCATTTTTTTGATATATTTATCCTCCGGGTAAAGCTTCTATAGTAGCTTCATAAACCTATGGGTGTACTCATTCACCTTCTCGCTTTTGCCTTATTTTATGGTTTCCAACTCTTCTTGCCATCGGCAACATTGCTCCAGCATTTTGAAATGCTGTATGAACATTGATACAAAGCTTCTTTCGTCATTGCATTTATCCCAATAGACAAACTGATACCGATGGTTCTCATACTGTTCCCTTCCAAGTAGCGACTTACTCCTTTTAGCTTTCTACTACTTGGCCAACCATTAGATTCGACGGCCTTTTTGTAATGCTTTAATTATTTGCGTGGGTCTTTTCTAGCTTTTTCCTTAAACTTATGTAATTTAACCCGGCGGACTTTTTATTTCTTCGATCCTTTATTTAAGTCTCCTTTATTATCAAGGGTCTGTGCTAGTTTTTGCAAAGCAGCGAGCTGCTGGAGAAATCTAATAGTCACATCACCACCCATTTGAAAATTCATTGTTATTCTTTAAATTTAGCAACAGTGTCATACAGATAACTAATTTGGGGTTTCAGATCTTGTTGGTCAGTTTTTCTTGCTGTGCCTAGGTCAGGTCATTATGCTGCGTTCCTAAAAGAATAGGAGGGAAAAATAAAAGAAGATAAAAGTTAGGGAATTGGGTGGTAGAATGCAAAAAGGTTCTAACGAATGGTTGTTTTTAGAATAGGAATTAGAAAAGTGTTGAAAAGATGTTTGTGTGAAAATATCGAGGGGAGGGGGAGTAATGAAGCATCGAATTTCACAGTTACTACCAAATTGTGACAGTGATTAATTTATTGCAAGGCATTCGATTTGACCGAGGTAAGATTTAAAAATATAACGAAAGATAAGAGAATTTCTACTTATTTCTAGTACTATTATCTAATTTAACATTAATTACATCTTTATTATTTCATTTCTAGTACCAGTTTTAGATTCTATTTTCTTCTCGCGATCCTGGATCAATCGTCAGTCTCGTGACCCGAATCATGTTAATACCATTTTACTTTTCCTCTCACAATATAAAAAAAAAATACAATTATAAAATCATCCCTATTTATTATAAGTTATAAGAACCACATACAATTTTTATAGTAATATATCTTCATTAATTTGTTGATAACTCTTTTGTTTATGAACAACATACTCAGCTGCTACTCCTGTTAGTTCATGTCGATATGCATTCATCCATCAATAACTCTGTCTAGCATATACATGAATTTGTTCTACTGGAATCGAATCTAAGGCTTTAGGAACAATATTAAGCAAACCTGTCCAGGAATAATCACAATACTTTCTTACATATACTTTTGCAGCACTCCAATATATCTCTATATAGTTGAGTTCTGGATGAAATTTTGGATAAAAAATTACTTTATGTCCTTTTCCTTCCAATTCTTCTTGAATTAATTCTTGTTGAGCCCGAAAGTCTGATTAATTAGTCAGTATTTGACAAGCACAATATTCTATTCCAATATACTCATTTTTACAATTTGCCATTAATTCTTTCTGCCATAGTTTATGCTCTTGCAAAATAATTTTCATTCCTTAACATTATATAATAATAAATAATCAATAAATATGGAATTTGTAAATTTTAAATAAAAAATTGTTAAATATAAAAATTTTTTATCTTTTGCTTGACCTCGTAAGCTTACATTAGAATAGTCAAAAGGAAAATCATCTCTTGAATATAGCCATTAAACATAGTTGAACGTATTTTTAGTTGGAGACCCTCAGGATTCAAATTCATTTTGTTAGCATTTAATGCATCTGGAGCCATTGCCATATGGATTGTTGAATTATCAAATGCCCATATTCCAATAGTTTCTGGATGTGTTCATTCAAAGATAATAACAGCTTTGTGCACTTGGTCTAGTAATCTCTCACTATTTCAATATCCATTATGATTCATATCCAATGCCATAATTATTTGTGCTTCTCCTTTATCATCTTTCAATTATCCAATTTCTTCTATCAGAAAATCACTAATGTGTAAACCTGCACCTAATCATTTTTTTTTAAAGACTGTTCTTCTTATGATTCCCAAAAGGCATATATTTCATCATATGCATAAAATGTCGACTTGTCATGTGTTACCAAAATATGAAGTTTTTGATTTGAATATAACTCAAGTAATGTTTTTACTTTATATTTTTATCTTGCCATTTGGGTATTAATAAATCAAATTCAGTTATTTGCCTTAGAAATTCATTTCGATATACAATTATATCAGGACGTTCATAACCATCAACATAAATTCTCTTCTGATACTGTTTATATGCAAAACCTAAGTGATTCATTTATCTTCATACTGTCTGAATACTTATTGTTTGTGAAGTGGTAAATCCAAAATCTGGAATTATCTTTTTTTCAAAATATTGCTTTACTAAATAAGGATTCACTTGAAACTTTGTTGATCTAAGATAAGAAGCTATATGTATAGACACAGTCTTATTATGAATAAGTGATTTGGATGGATGTTTTTCGCGAAAACACTGAGGTATAATTTTGCCTATTAAATATAATAATAAATGAATTTTTATATTCTAAGATATATGTATATATAAATTACACACAATTACCTTTTAAACATAATGTCATCTATATTCTTACATATTAAACATGGTATTGACCTTTTTTACAAATAGTTGCAACAGTTTCACTTGATTCTTTTTTCATTTTTTCCATTTTGTAGGAGACGCATGTACCAAACAACTGATTGATATTGCATCAACTCAATTTTTCCAAGTTTTTTATCTTTTATAAACTTTTTAATTCTCTTAACTATATTTTCAATATTTTGCTAATTATTCTTACTATTATTGTTATCATAATTTATATCCTGATTATCTATATCCTGATCATCTTTATTATTATCTTTTTCACTGCTGTTAACTTTTGAAAAAAAGTTTATAATAGAAATCGTTTCTATGATAGCATGTTTGTTCTCAGCTCTTTTTTACCTACATGTTCTTTCAGAGTTACCTATATAGATAAGTAGACATTTTTTACTTATCATTGGTGATTTTTTCATTTGATTTATTATTTTTTCGAATGTATTACTAATAATAATAATTTCAGCTTCCTCTTTATTCATCATTGCCTTTTTTTCAAATATTTTGTCATCACTAATATTGCTTTCACTGTTTTCACTATTTTTAACATTATTTAATATATTTTGAAATGTTTGTCGAGCAATTGACGCATTTTTTTGCAGCTGGCAGACTTTTTTTTTTTCTTGGCATTTCAAGCACAGAACTAATAATTTTCTTTTTTGATTAATAATTTGAAAAGGAAATGAAAAGTAAGCTTATATTCAAAATTTATATTGTTCTAAAGTCAAAAAAAATTTTATTTAACTAATTATCAATTGTATTCTTATTTTCTTTTGCAGATTGTATTAGAAAACTCTAGTTATAACACCTCGATGAAAGATTTTGTATAGACATGATTGTAAAACAATTGAATTAACTGAATAGCCTAATAAATACTAAGCTATCAAGAAATATCTTTAACCAATTTTCACTTAATATAATATTATGATTTGTGTATTCAGAAATGACATAATATAGTTTAAATCATTATATCAATGTTCTAAAAAAATAAAATATATACTTACTAGTTATGAACACAGTTTATGATTTTTCTGTAGATATTAATGATCCTTTTTATCAAATTTACTGGTGTTTTGTAGAAAGTATATATTGAAGTGAGTTTGTCAAACTGGTTAATATATTACATAATTTGTATCACGTTAATAAATAATTAGCCAATTAAAAATCGGATATCACGTGATATGGCACTTAGCCAATCATATTTACTGGTCAAATTTAAAATTACATATAAAAATAAATTAATTTTAAAATATTATAACTATTAATTAAATAATTATTTTGAAAAAATAATTTAATCAAAATATAGTTTTTTAAATAATAAATATTTTAGTTAAAAAAATTTTTTAAATAAATAATTATTAAATAATTAATATATTTTTAAAAAAATTTATTTTAAAATGTTGAGGCTTACTGTCTTATATTATATGTTGTATAATATTAGTAATAAAAACTAACAATTAATTTTTATTGTTTTTTTTTCAATTTTTATTTTAAAATGATAATGTCTTAATGTTTATTATAGCTTATCATACAAATTAAAAACTTTATTATTGAGTTAATATTTAATTGTTTCACCTTTTTTCTGTAATATTAATTTTACATACTTTTATATTGACCTTGCTAAATTAAGGCATAAGTTTCTATTGATTTTTTTCTACTCTGATGCAATCAATAACATAAAAATATCTTTTGTTACTGTTTTTTTCTTGCTTATTATCCCTTAAATTGTAGGGGATTTTTTTTATAACATTTAAAATTTTTTAACTAAAAAGTTGCTTTTTATTTATTTTTTTAAATAAACAAAATATTTTTCCAAAAATTTATATAATATTAGTTTTAATTATATATTATCTATTTATAGTATTTATTTTTTATTTATTTAATAAAAATT